TGCTCAGCTAGGGGCAGAACTGATGGGAGGAGATGGCAACTTGTGCCACAGACTAGTAGCGGCAGCATTCTGAGAATGCATTCATTCATACATACATGTTGTTGTATGCCTTCAAATCATATCTAACTTAATGGTGACCCTAAGGTAAATCTATCATAGGGGTTTTCTTGGGCTGAGAGTGTATGACTCAGCCAAGGTCACCTATTGGGTTTCCATGGCTGAGTGGGGAATCAAACCTTGGTCTCCAGAGTCGTAATCCAACACTCAAACCACTACACCATTCTGGCCTTCACATACATACACACTCTAAAATCGTCCTTTTCAGATACTGTTGGGGAGGGAAAGGAATAATAAAAAATAAAATTTATTTTAAAAATTGTAACTGAAATAGTAATTACTTTGAGAGTGAGGGGGTTGGAACCATTAATTGCAACTATTCACTATTTAAAAGTTATATTCAAAGCTATGGCTTTAGAAAAGGTCCAAAGTATGACAGCCTCAGTTTAGTCATTTTGGCTTCTCCGAGAGAACTCAGGCTTGATTTGTTCTTTGCTCTAGGAACCATTCATTTTTCTTTTTTAGACGTCTATGGTACTTGTAGAACCCTCCTCCAGCACCACATTTCAACTTAAAATTGATCAATATAAATTGATTAACTTCCAGTCAGCTTTCTTCACTGTCCAGCTGTCCACTGTCCAGAAGAATAGACTTCAATATGAAAAGATGTAAATTTCTAAATGAAAGTGCTTCCAACAGTCAGCCTCTCTTGGTTGCATTCTGCTAAACCATTTTGTGGGTTAACCTGAACAATTAAAAGAATTAGGTCTGCATTCTTATATACACTTCCTTAGGTTTTAGCCCCACTATAAATCTTCCAGCCCTGCCATCAACACAATGGAAAAATATTGTGAAGAGTCAGAGTGATGAATAGGGTTGGGAAAATATGTGATTTTTGCTTTCTCTCCAAGCCAAATTATTCAGCCTTAAATGCTTTCTGACCCAAATATATATATGTGTATGTGTGTGTGCATATTGCTACACTGTTCTGAAATAAACCAAAGCAAAATGCTCAGCTGTCTGCACTGGCTGAATTCAATAGGCATTCACAAAATGGAGAGAACTATGTGGCACCTAATTGCCATGATGATGATGATGATGATGATATTTATTTATAACACCCTTTCCACCAAAGGGCGGAACATCAAACATATATAATCAAAAACAAAATAAAACACAATACTATAAAATGCTAAAATGCTAAAATAATATAATACTAAATATAATACTAATAATATAATACTAAAACAAACTCCTTATCAGTCATTATTTAAGTGACTGATAAGGAGTATTAAAGATGAGAAGCCATTCTGAGAAGGGGGCAACCCTAAGTAACATTAAGATTATTGAATACACAGGGATGGATTTTGGGTTTCTCTTCCATTCAGATTCTTCAGATCTCAGCTGCTTTCCCTTCCTGATGTGAAAAATTCCCCTTCATTTTTCTCATCCTTGATAAGGAAGAATATTTCAGCACATCAAGAAATCCCATCAAGAAAGCAGTCAGCTGCTGTTGACTGAAACAACCATTTGCTTGGGTGTGGGATTTTACGTTTTGTAAAATATTTTGGATTGGAGTTTTTTTCAGAAGAAAGCTGTGGCTGGTTTTGTTTTGTTTTTTAAAAAGGAACTGAAACAGGATTCTAACAGGATTAGTAACATTAGTAACATTGCCCAATATCCTGTATTGAGGGAAAGGAGAGGAATTTTATGCTTATGAAGATTTATGCTTAATGCTACCGTGTTGTTGTTGTGTGCCTTCAAGTTGTTTCCGATTTATGGCATTGGTTTAGTCATTTTGGCTTCTGCGGGAGGGCTCAGGCAAACCTATCATGAGGTTTTCTTGGCAAGTTTCTTCAGAGGGGTTTGCCATTGCCATCCTCTGAGGCTGAGAAAGTGTGACTTGCCCAAGATCACCCAGTGGATTTCATGGCTGAGCTGGGAATCAGACCCTGGTCTGCAGAGTTGTAGTCCCACACTCAAACCATTACAGCATGCTGGGCTTTAGCTGGCCCGCTATCACATTAATGAGTTTAAATGTTGAACAACCAAATGAGAGCCAGTGTAGTTGTTTTAAGTGTTGGACTAGGATTCTGGGAGACCATGGTCCAAATCTCTGCTCAGCCATGGAAACTTAGTGGGTGACCTTGGGCAAGTAACATTATCTCAGCCTCAAAGGAAGGCAAAGGCAAAAGCAACCCTTCTCTGAACAAATCTTGCAAGCCCCCTACCTTCAAGTCAGTAACAGATGGCCCCTAAGGGGTGGCTCTGTGCTGCCCCTCAGAGTGCCAGATCAGGGCCGCGGCAACTGCACGCCATGGCCCCGATCTGGCACTTTGCCGCCCCAAAAAGAGCTGCCAAATGCCGCTCATTTTTGGAGTGGCAAAAAGCTGCCCTTACCGCTGTCTCAGTGGCTCTTCTTTGCTCCTTTGGCACAGCGTGTCTGTATGCTGCGCCAAGGGAGTGCCCTGACACCGTGTGCCATGCAGTGGGGTGCGTGGTGTGATGGCAGTGTTAGGGCAGAGTTGGGGTGGCCGGTGTGTGGTCACCCTGCCCCAACTCTACCCCAGGCCATCTCTTGTGGCCAGTCTGTACAGGCCCTAAGTTGGAAATGACTTGAAGGTACACAAAAACAACCTTGGTGGGCCCTTGGTATTTACTAGGGTTTGGTTCCAAGACCCCCTGTGGATAGCAAAATCTAAGGATGCTCAAGTCCCATGAAATACAATAGCATAGTAAAATGGTGTCCCTTATGTAAAACAGCAAAATCAAGGCTCACTTTTTGGAATTTGTATTTATTTTATTTTTTGGAATATTTTCAAGCCATCGATAGCTGAATCCATGGACAAAGAATCTATGGCTATGCAGGACCGACTATACTGTATGCTCATTTCTGTTTCCCCTGACATCAGCTGATGGTGGGATGAATTTGAACAGCTCACCTGGTTTTATAGAGGTCTGAGTTTTGTAAAGATTACCTAAAGACAGCATGAGATTAGGGCCACCCAAGATGTATCAGATGAACCCAGGAGACCTAAGAACTCTTGAAAACAAAGCAAACGTATTTCAGACATGAGGTTTTTCTGTATGAGCCAATGAGGGATTACAGATATCCACTTCCTTTCAAATTGGGGGTGGGGGGAAACCCATATCCAGACACTTTTGCGGAATGTATTCATTGATGTGAACTAGCATGTAGTGGTTTCAGCATTGGAATCTGACTCTGGAGGTAGGGTTCAAATCCCCATTGATCCATGGAAACCCACTGGATGACTCTGGGCAGTCACAAACTCTCAGCCACAGAGGAAGGCAAAGGAAAATCCCTTCTGAACAAATTTTGCCAAGGAAACCCCATGATACGTTCACCTTAGGGTCACCATAAATCAGAAACGGCTTGGAGGCACACAAGAACAAATTGGTTGAGGTTGTTTATTTGCTGTTATGTAATACTATGGTTCTGAGTCAATGGTTCTTCAACCACCCATGGGATGCAGAAGAAGCCTAGGTGGGACACTGGGTTTTTATAACACTTAGATCTGGATTGTGATGGGTAGTTTTAGCTATAATAGATCCATTGTTCGATGGTCAACCCACTAATTCCACAGGATGGTGTGAGGCAGTTAAAATGGCATCAAAATACTATAATTGTATAGAGACCTTATTCTTTTTTCCATTCCATCCATCCCTGTTTTCTGTCCCTAGAGCTGACCCTCATGCATGAAGGTAAGAAGCAAAACACCATCAGAGAGACAGCTCTAGGGATCCTTGTACTAAGTATAGTTTTCTTTTACTGATTACTAACTTTCCTAGAGGCTAGATTAATTACTTTGTAACAATAAAGTAAATCTTATTTTTACCTTACCTATGTATCTTGTTTATTTACCAGTAGCTCAGATATATACTGTTGGGGGTACATGCTACTGTTGCTGCACTTAATATATGAATATTAAATTTTACCCAGAACCAAAATTTTGTGTAATATCCAAAAGGAACCCTGGTGGTGCAGTGGTTAAATGCTGGTATGGGTTGTGAGTTTGATTCCAGGACTCCAAGGTTGGCTCAGCCTTCAATCAGTAAGGCTTGTAGGTCAGTAAAATGAGTACCTAGCTTATTTGGAGGCAATTGGCTTACAGACTGTAAACCACATAGAGAGTGCTTTTTAGTTCACATAAAGCAGTATAGAAATGTAAATGCTATTGTTATCCAACAAGTGCATATTTAGCTTTCAGGACCATATGTGCAGCAGCCTGCCTACAAGGAAGAGGAGCATGGCCTTTCTCTGCCTGCCTGGTCCCTAACCAGCCTTCTGCCTCTTTTGTTTTTCCTTTCTCTTCTCCAGGCGCTCCTTTTCAAAGGTCTCAGCATCCTCATGCTACCTCCTGCCGGCACTTCCACTTGGGCCCCCAGCCTCAGATTTCTGCAGACTTCCCCCTGCCTCACGCCGTCCAGCCGCACATGGCAACCGCTCACCAGCACAGTGGCCCACTGCACCCATCCTTACCGCCTCTGCCTACCCTGCCATTCCAGGATGTGACGGGACCCTCTTTCCTACCTCAGGCCCTTCACCAGCAATACCTCCTCCAGCAACAGCTCCTCGAAGCCCAACACCGCAGACTCATGCCTCATCCCAGGTGAGTCTTCCATGGAGTGGCCAGTCC